ATATTCAGGAGTACTGTGCATATTCAGGTGTATTGGGGCATCTTCAGGTGTACTTGGGCATACTCAGGTGTATTGGGCATATTCAGGTGTATTTGGCATATTCAGGTGTACTGGGAATATTCAAGTGTACTGGGCATATTAAGGAGTACAGGGCATATTCAGGTGTATTGGGGCATCTTCAGGTGTGTTTGGGCATATTCAAGTGTATTGGGCATATTCAGGTGTATTGGGCATATTCAGGTGTACTGGGCATATTCACGTGTATTGGGCATATTCAGGAGTACAGGGCATATTCAAGTGTATTGGGCATATTCAAGTGTATTGGGCATATTCAAGTGTATTGGGCATATTCAAGTGTATTGGGCATATTCAAGTGTATTGGGCATATTCAAGTGTATTGGGCATATTCAAGTGTATTGGGCATATTTAGGTGTACAGGGCATATTCAAGTGTATTGGGCATATTCACGTTTGCGCCACCTGGCACTTCCACACATGTGTACGACCTAACACTGACATGCATTTGTACGACCTAACACTTCCACACATTTGTACGACCTAACACTTCAACACATTTGTACGACCTAACACTTCCACACATTTGTACGACCTAACACTTCCACACATTTGTACGACCTAACACTTCCACACATTTGGACGACCTAACACTTCCACACATTTGGACGACCTAACACTTCCAACCATATGTACGACCTAACACTTCCACACATGTGTGCCAACTGACACTTCCCCACATGTGCGCCAACTGACACTTCCACACATTTGTACGACCTAACACTTCCACACATTTGTACGACCTAACACTTCCACACATTTGTACGACCTAAAACTTCCACACATTTGTACGACCTAACACTTCCAACCATATGTACGACCTAACACTTCCACACATTTGTACGACCTAACACTTCCACACATTTATACGACCTAACATTTCCACACATTTGTATGACCTAACATTTCCACACATTTGAACGACCTAACATTTCCACAGATTTGTACAACCTAACACTTCCACACATTTGTACGACCTAACACTTCCACACATTTGTACCACCTAACACTTCTAAACATTTGTACGACCTAAGACTTCCACACATTTGTACAACCTAACATTTCCACACATTTGTACGACCTAAAATTTCCAACCATATGTACCACCTAACACTTCCACACATTTGTACTACCTAACACTTCCACACATTTGTACGACCTAACATTTCCACACATTTGTACGACCTAACACTTCCACACATTTGTACGACCTAACACTTCTACACATTTGTACGACCTAACACTTCCACACATTTGTACGACCTAACACTTCCACACATTTGGACGACCTAACACTTCTAAACATTTGTACGACCTAAGACTTCCACACATTTGTACAACCTAACATTTCCACACATTTGTACGACCTAAAATTTCCAACCATATGTACCACCTAACACTTCCACACATTTGTACTACCTAACACTTCCACACATTTGTACGACCTAACATTTCCACACATTTGTACGACCTAACACTTCCACACATTTGTACGACCTAACACTTCTACACATTTGTACGACCTAACACTTCCACACATTTGTACGACCTAACACTTCCACACATTTGTACGACCTAACACTTCCACACATTTGGACGACCTAACACTTCCACACATTTGTACGACCTAACACTTCAACACATTTGTACTGGGATGATGTTGTCCCTGGATTCTAACGGGACCCGCCTGGAAGTGTTTCCAACTTCCATCATGTTGTTAAGTGAGTTAGAACTCAATGATGTGATCCCCACCAATTGTAGTCGGCCGACTGTTTATTGCAGTTCCACCAACAATGCAGTCCAGTCGGTAGTCTGGCTATCTTGAAGTCGTGAAACTGGCCGACACAAAGTCTGGCAGAAAACATCACCACAAGTATTTACGTCCAGCCTTCTCATTTCTACGAGCAAGCATGAAAGCATCCGTAATTAAGATTTGGCAACGGCTCGTCTCCATTCATGGACTCAACACTGTAGCCATTCATGGACTCAACACTGTAGCCATTCATGGACTCAACACTGTAGCCATTCATGGACAACACTGTAGCCATTCATGGACTCAACACTGTAGCCATTCATGGACTCAACACTGCAGCCATTTATAGACAACACTGTAGCCATTCATGGACTCAACACTGTAGCCATTCATGGACAACACTGTAGCCATTCATGGACAACACTGTAGCCATTCATGGACTCAACACTGTAGCCATTCATGGACTCAACACTGCAGCCATGCATGGACTCAACACTGCAGCCATTCATGGACTCAACACTGCAGCCATTTATGGACTCAACACTGTAGCCATTCATGGACTCAACACTGTAGCCAATTATGGACTCAACACTGTAGCCAATTATGGACTCAACACTGTAGCCATTCGTGGACTCAACACTACAGCCATTCATGGATTCAACACTGTAGCCATTCATGGACTCAACACTGTAGCCATGCATGGACTCAACACTGTAGCCATTCATGGATTCAACACTGTAGCCAATTATGGACTCAACACTGTAGCCAATTATGGACTCAACACTGTAGCCAATTATGGACTCAACACTGTAGCCATTCATGGACTCAACACTACAGCCATTCATGGACTCAACACTGTAGCCAATTATGGACTCAACACTGTAGCCAATTATGGACAACACTGTAGCCAATTATGGACTCAACACTACAGCCATTCATGGACTCAACACTGTAGCCATTCATGGACTCAACACTGTAGCCATGCATGGACTCAACACTACAGCCATTCATGGACTCAACACTGTAGCCATTCATGGACTCAACACTGTAGCCATGCATGGACTCAACACTGTAGCCATTCATGGACTCAACACTGTAGCCATTCATGGACTCAACACTGCAGCCATGCATGGACTCAACACTGCAGCCATGCATGGACTCAACACTGTAGCCAATTATGGACTCAACACTGTAGCCATGCATGGACTCAACACTGGAGCCATGCATGGACTTAACACTGTAGCCATTCATGGACTCAACACTGTAGCCATTCATGGACTCAACACTGTAGCCATTCATGGACTCAACACTGTAGCCATTCATGGACTCAACACTGTAGCCATTCATGGACTTAACACTGTAGCCATTCATGGACTCAACACTGTAGCCATTCATGGACTTAACACTGTAGCCAATTATGGACTCAACACTGTAGCCATGCATGGACTCAACACTGGAGCCATTCATGGACTTAACACTGTAGCCATGCATGGACTCAACACTGTAGCCATGCATGGACTCAACACTGCAGCCATGCATGGACTCAACACTGTAGCCATTCATGGACTCAACACTGTAGCCATGCATGGACTCAACACTGTAGCCAATTATGGACTCAACACTGTAGCCATGCATGGACTCAACACTGGAGCCATGCATGGACTTAACACTGTAGCCATTCATGGACTCAACACTGTAGCCATTCATGGACTCAACACTGTAGCCATTCATGGACTTAACACTGTAGCCATTCATGGACTCAACACTGTAGCCATTCATGGACTCAACACTGTAGCCATTCATGGACTCAACACTGCAGCCATGCATGGACTCAACACTGCAGCCATTCATGGACTCAACACTGTAGCCATTCATGGACTCAACACTGCAGCCATGCATTGACTCAACAATGCAGCCATGCATGGACTCAACACTGTAGCCAATTATGGACTCAACACTGTAGCCATGCATGGACTCAACACTGTAGCCATTCATGGACTCAACACTGTAGCCATTCATGGACTCAACACTGTAGCCATGCATGGACTCAACACTGGAGCCATGCATGGACTTAACACTGTATTCACATCCATTTGCTTTAACGACACAGACGACATTCATTCCAAAGACGATGTCTCCGCTCAGCACATTCTGACCGCTTCCATTCATGTCCAAAAACCAATTGCTGTTACCCCACTTTGCCCTTCCAAACCCTTGTTGCCTTTTCGCAGAGTTAAGGCTGGCAACAATTCCCTCCCCCTCGTGACTCCCCCCCCCCCTCGTGACACCCCCCCCCCCTCGTGACCCCCCCCCTCTTGCCCCCTCCCCCTCGTGACTATCATTTATTTCCTGTAGCCCGTCTTCTCAGTGGCCTGTTACTTTCGTCATAAGAGGTTCCTCGGGAATGTTATCATTGCATGTGCCAGATGACACTTTCACATATTTGTGAAACCTGACACTTCCACACATTTGTGCCGCCTAACACTTTCACACATGTTTGCCACCTGACACTTCCACGCATGTGTGCCATCTGACACTTTCACACGTGTGCCACCTGACACTTTCACACATGTGTGCCATCTGACACTTTCACACATGTGTGCCACCTGACACTTTCACACATGTGTGCCACCTGGCACTTCCACAAATGTGTGCCATCTGATACTTTCACACATGTGTGCCATCTGATACTTTCACACATGTGTGCCACCTGACACTTTCACACATGTGTGCCATCTGATACTTTCACACATGTGTGCCTTCTGACACTTTTACACATGTGTGCCATCTGACACTTTCACACATGTGTGCCACCTGACACTTCCACGCATGTGTGCCACCTGACACTTTCACACGTGTGCCACCTGAAAGTTTCACACATGTGTGCTATCTGACACTTTCACACATGTGTGCCATCTGACACTTTCACACATGTGTGCCACCTGACACTTTCACACATGTGTGCCACCTGACACTCCCACACTGTCGCAGCTTCTGGTGGTTGAAGTGCTAGTGAAGAAACATCACCTTCACTGCGCTCATAGCTTCTGATGTTGAAAGGTTTCTTAGGCAGCGGCTGGTTCCGACCTACTTCACTCCACGTGCAACTGCCGATACGGTTCGATGTTTAAATTCTACCATTTGTCTGCAGGGCCGTGGGCAGTCCTCTAGTCATGGATTCCAACAGTATCTGTAAGAAGACCAGACGTCTGGCTGGCATACAGAAGACAATCTGCAAACGAGAACCGGAGATTGTAGCCGAAGTGGCTAAAGGTGCTAAAATAGCTCTTATGGAATGCAAGTACCAGTTTCGCAGCCGTCGATGGAACTGTACAACGGCCAAGAGATCTATTTCCAGGATACTTCGAAACAGTAAGTACATCAATCGGCTTGCTTATTCCTGCCAGAATACATGTTTTCTTCTATGTAGATCTGAGTATTGTCCAGTCTGTTTCTTTGTACTCCTGAGTATTGTCGTCTGTTTCTTTGTACTCCTGAGTATTGTCGTCTGTTTCTTTGTACTCCTGAGTATTGTCCAGTCTGTTTCTTTGTACTCCTGAGTATTGTCGTCTGTTTCTTTGTACTCCTGAGTATTGTCCAGTCTGTTTCTTTGTACTCCTGAGTATTGTCCAGCCTGTTTCTTTGTACTCCTGAGTATTGTCGTCTGTTTCTTTGTACTCCTGAGTATTGTCCAGTCTGTTTCTTTGTACTCCTGAGTATTGTCCAGTCTGTTTCTTTGTACTCCTGAGTATTGTCCAGTCTGTTTCTTTGTACTCCTGAGTATTGTCCAGACTGTTTCTTTGTACTCATGACTATTGTCCAGTCTGTTTCTTTGTACTCCTGAGTATTGTCCAGTCTGTTTCTTTGTACTCCTGAGTATTGTCCTGTCTGTTTCTTTGTACTCCTGAGTATTGTCCAGTCTGTTTCTTTGTACTCTTGAGTATTGTCAAGACTGTTTCTTTGTTCTTTTGAGTATTGTCCTGTCTGTTTCTATGTACTTCTGAGTACTGTCTAGTCTGTTTCTTTGTACTTCTAAGTATTATCCTGTCTATTTATATGAACTTTTGAGTATTGTCCTGTCTGGTTTTTTGTGTGTACTCCTAAGTATTGTTCTGTCTGTTTCTATGTACTCCTGAGTATTGCCTAGTCTCTTTCTTTGTACTTCTAAGTATTATCCTGTCTGTTTATATGTACCTTTGAGTATTGTCTAGTCTGTCTATGTACTCCTATTGTCCTGTCTGTTTCTATGTTATCCTGAGTATTGTCCTGTCTGTTTCTATGTACTCCTGAGTATTGTCCTGTCTGTTTCTATGTACTCCTGAGTATTGTCCTGTCTGTTTCTATGTACTCCTGAGTATTGTCCGGTCTATTTCTATGTACTTCTAAGCATTGACCTGTCTGTTTCTATGTAGTTCTCCGTTTTGTCCTGTCTGTTTCTTTGTACTTCTGAGTATTGTCCTGTCTGTTTCTTTGTACTTCTGAGTATTGTCCTGTCTGTTTCTATGTACTCCTTAGTATTGTCCTGTCTGTTTCTGTGTACTTCTGAGTATTGTCCAGTCTGTTTCTTTGTAGTTCTGAGTTTTGTCCAGTCTGTTTCTGTGTACTTCTGAGTATTGTCCAGTCTGTTTCTTTGAAGTTCTGAGTTTTGTCCTGTCTGTTTTTCAGTGCTTCTGAGTATTGTCCAGTCTGTTATCATTTATGAGTATACCTCAGATATTCTTACTCATCTATGTCTCTGTGACTTCGTTTTTTTTTTTCTTCTTTTCGTGTGCATTTACTTCCCTGTTATAAACTGTTCGCTCTGCATCACCGTTCTGAAGTTGTCACAGCCGGTGGAGTGGTAGACAGCTGGTGGAGTGGGAGACAACCGGTGGAGTGGTAGACAGTCGGTAGAGTGGTAGACAGCTGGTGGAGTGGTAGACAGTCGGTAGAGTGGTAGACAGCCGGTAGAGTGGTAGACAGCTGGTGGAGTAGTAGACAGTCGGTAGAGTGGTAGACAGCTGATTGAGTGGTAGACAGTCGGTAGAGTGGTAGGCAACCGGTGGAGTGGTAGACTGTCGGTGAAAGTGGTAGACAATCGGTGAAGTGGTAGACAACCGGTCGAGTGGTAGACAGCCGGTGAAGTGGTAGACAACCGGTGAAGTGGTAGACAACCGGTGGAGTGGTAGACAACCGGTGGAGTGGTAGACAACCGGTGGAGTGGTAGGCAACCGGTAGAGTGGTAGACAACCGGTGAAAGTGGTAAGTAACTCCTTTATGTCACTTAGTTCCTTCTGTCTTAGCACAGACAAAAGTTAGTGAATGTTTTCAGTTTATTGGTATTGCTTTGCTGTTTCTCCATGTTTCCGCTCCATATGCATCAGTACTTATTTTACCTACGCATTTTAAATTTAGTGATAGTTTTAATTTTCCTTAACCCCTCCCCCCTCCCCGCAAATTTCCTAGTTCTTTAAAAGCCCATCTTGCCTTTTGTATTCGTATTTTAATTGCACTATCAGTTTCACCATCGTTATCTAACATTACTCCACACCTTGGAGTCTAATACCATTAAGAGAGATTCGATTACTGTTTGCCTGATTTATTCTCATTATCTTTGTCTTTCCTTCTGGATTTGTAGTTCTCATTGTTGTGAGCTCATCACGTGTTTAGTTGACCTTGCATCTGATTCCGTGAGAACAGAGAAATACAACCAGTTAAGTCCCCCCCCCCTTCCCCGTCCCTTCCCTTCAAGTCTCCCACCGCAACATATCTAGGTGGCTCCCACCCCTTCAAGTCTCCCACCGCAACATATCTAGGTCCCCTCCCCCCCCCCACCCCTTTAAGTCTCCCACCGCAACATATCTAGGTCCCCTCCCCCCCCAACCCCTTTAAGTCTCCCACCGCAACATATCTAGGTCCCCTCCCCCCCCCCCAACCCCTTTAAGTCTCCCACCGCAACATATCTAGGTCCCCTCCCCCCCCCAACCCCTTCAAGTCTCCCACCGCAACATATCTAGGTTCCCCCCCCCAACCCCTTCAAGTCTCCCACCGCAACATATCTAGGTGGCTCCCACCCCTTCAAGTCTCCCACCGCAACATATCTAGGTCCCCTCCCCCCCCCCCCCCCAAACCCCTTCAAGTCTCCCACCGCAACATATCCAGGTCCCCCCCCCCCAACCCCTTCAAGTCTCCCACCGCAACATATCTAGGTCCCCTCCCCCCCCCCCCCCCCCTTCAAGTCTCCCACCGCAACATATCTAGGTGGCTCCCACCCCTTCAAGTCTCCCACCGCAACATATCTAGGTCCCCCCCCCCAACCCCTTCAAGTCTCCCACCGCAACATATCTAGGTGGCTCCCACCCCTTCAAATCTCCCACCGCAACATATCTGGGTGCCCCCGCCCCGCCCTCTTCCCACAATCCACTAGTGTTAGACCGGACACAGGCCGATCAACCAATAATTGACATGAATCTCTAAAACGTTGGCGGAGCCTGGAGACATTCATCACATGCTCCAGCAGCCCTTCACGCGAAACACCAACTAGTTCTATCAGTCCAACTGTTCAGCCCCTCCAAGCAAAGATATTGTGAGAATCTAATCTACATCAGCTCAAACCCACCTGGGCAGCAGGTCGTCCCTTTTGCAGACGAGTTCATATACACAGTTCATGACTTGTGTTGCATCTGAACTTTCTGAAAGTGTTTATTCATTGATTTATGACCGTTACCTGCCCGCGACAGTCTGATGTTTTCTGTTGCCTGCGACCGTCTGATATTTTCTGTTGCCCGCGACAGTCTGATATTTCTGTTGCCCGCGACAGTCTGCTGTTTTCTGTTGCCAGCGACAGTCTGATGTTTTCTGTTGCCCGCGACACTCTAATGTTTTCTGTTGCCCGCGACAGTCTAATGTTTTCTGTTGCCCGCGACAGTCTGATGTTTTCTGTTGCCCGCGACAGTCTAATGTTTTCTGTTGCCCGCGACAGTCTAATGTTTTCTGTTGCCCGCGACAGTCTGATGTTTTCTATTGCCCGCGACAGTCTGATGTTTTCTATTGCACGCGACAGTCAGATGTTTTCTGTTGCCCGCGACAGTCTGATGTTTTCTGTTGCCCGCGACAGTCTGATGTTTTCCATTGCCCGCGACCGTCTGATATTTTCTGTTTAAAAAAACACAGGGATGAGACTTTTTCAGTGTTTTTGTTTTTGTTTTCTTTAAAGATCAAAGTCAAGCAGACTGAATGAAATGTTCCTACATCACGCGAGTTAAACTACAAGATCAGTCCCTGTGTTAAACTACAACTTTAGTTCTTACATTGAACTACATCATCAGCTGTTTTGTTAAACTAAACATTAACTCCTGTGTTAAACTACAACATAGTGCTTATGTTAAATTGTAACATCATTGGTTCCTTAAATGTTAACATAACTCATGAGTTAAATGATTATATTAACTCTGTGTTAAAGGATAACACTACTGTTCGTTACATTATAACATAATCCCATGATAAATTATAACAAAACTGGAGTGTTACACTATGACATAACAATTGTGTTAAATTACCCCAAAAAATGTTGTATTATATTAAACATAACTGGTGTGTTTTAGCTCCAGGTGTGCCAAAGCTAATCAAATAAAGGGGCAACTATCTCCCCTCTTGATAAACAATCAGATACCTCGGAGTACTAAAGTGAATCTTATCAGAACTATTTTTTGGCCAACACTATGCTATCAATGCCAAACGTGGACACTTATATCCTCCAATGAACGTAACATTGTCACAACAGAGATGAAATGCCTTAGAAGAGCTGCAGGAGTTTCAAGGAAAGACAGAATACGAAATCACGAAATCAGACGAATGCTAGGAATAAAGTCAGTCTTACAGGTCATCAAAGAACAACAAATGAAATGGTTTGGACACCTAACAAGAATGCCCTAGCATTATCTACCACAGCGAGCCACACTAAAACGTTACAACGGGTATAGGGCGAGTGAAAGACCTCGGAAAATATGGAGTGATGGCATTAAGAACAGCCTTACACAAATGAATATCAGTCTTAATAGTGCTCTTGACAGAGCTCATCAACGAACATTACATCTCCCCCCGACACTTCACTGGGGTACAAGGTGGAAGAGAAGAAGAAGAAGTAGAAGAAGAAGAAGAAGAAGAAGAAGAAGAAGAAGAAGAAGAAGAAGAAGAAGAAGAAGAAGAAGAAGAAGAAGAAGAAGAAGAAGAAGAAGAAAAAGAAGAAGAAGAAGAAGAAGAAGAAGAAGAAGAAGAAGAAGAAGAAAAAGAAGGTGTGTTAAATTGTAGAATAACTGTTATGCTAAATTATAACATCAAACAATCAGTCAATCAGCATCTCCTTTACAAAACATCACTGTTTTCAAGGCACG